TGAAAGGGACAACATTGTGAATGTTTCATGCAGTGGAAGCACTATAGTTGGAATTGGTTCCCCAGATCCACCTGCGTTTGTGTATGACGATGACGACTACAAGGATGTTTTTGTGTCAGGTATGTTGCCTGTTGCATTTCACAAAATTCATGTTCCTCATCTATACACGGTCGAAACGCTTAGCCGAATTGCCGAACACATAGACAAAACTGGATTGCTGATATCCGAACAGACAAAAGTTGTGTTAAACAAACAATTTGGAACCTGTATTGCGCTAATTTTGAGTCCTCCATGTCTTTGGTGCAGAGGCTCGCTTTCTCACTCGCGACGAGAATGAGTGGTACAGGGAACCAATGTCGTCGAATGCCAGGTTTAGCAAAGAAGATTCACTGTCAGAGGCAGCACCAGTCGTGGACTGACCGAGTGAGGTTCTGTATTTGGTCTCAGTTTTGCGGCTGTGGCACACAGGTGTGGATTTGTTCAATACATGTTGACATGAGAAGAGCAGCTACACCATCAAGTTTGTTGATAAGAAAATTTGATTTTGTAAAGGGAAACGGTAATTAAATCGAGCAAATCCTGGAACTAACTACTCCCTCCGGCCCATTATGGGAGGGAGGGAGGGAGGGAGGGAGGGAGTATTTCAGTAGGTATCTATCACTAGCATGCGCAGTAAGGAATCACAATTGTTTCCAGATCACTTGGCAAGAAAAGAGTGGGTGCATTCTGTATGAGAGGGAAAACACCAGGTTTGGTTCTACAGTATATTTGAAGGGAATCAACGTTGACTTCCAATTCCAATCTTCCATTCCATAAGAAAACAAAGCTTTGACATACATTCCCTTCAACTGAAACTATCACATGATCTACTAGGAAGGAAGAGAACGACATTGACGCCCTTGAAATCTAAGCTGGGTCGCGGACAAGAAACGGAATCAAATCCAGGGAGTCATCGTTCCGATTCAGTTTGCCTTCCCGGATGGCGACGGCCCTGATCGCCCACCGCCGCCACTGACTGTGAGCTCCCGTCTTTGCCGTCCTCAGCTCCGGTGTCCGAGGCCGTGGCCGTATCCTCCTCCTCCTTCGCAACCGGGGAATCTTCCGGGTCGAGGGCCTCCTGCTCGGCGGCCACCGGCGGGTTGAACGACCCGAACTTGGGCGTCGTCTCCAGCGCCACGAAACCGCCGCGCGCGTGCTGGAAGGAGAAGGACGAGCCGCCGTCACGGTTCCCGTCCGCCTCGCCATCCCCACCCTTGGCCGCGGCGCAGGGCACGCCGTCGAGCGCCGCGACGCTCGCGCGGCGCCGCTTCGTCCCGGGCCGCTCCTCCTCCCGGCCGTCCGCCGGGGCCGGGCGCTTCTCGGGGACGGGCAGCGGAGGGGGCGCGGGCGGCCCGGAGCCCTCGGCCCGGGCCTCCGCCGCCATTCGGGCTTGGAGAGCAGACAGCGGCGGAATTGGGCAAGGGAGGCGGAGCGGAGTGAGGCTCGGGGAATCCGCGGGGTGGGATCGGGAGTGGAGTTTTCTATTCCGGCCGAGTCACGGTGCGCGTGCTCGCCTCCGCCGGCTCCCCTTTTGTGGCCAGTTGATGAGTGACGACGATTGACGGCGTGAGGGTAACATGCGAGAAATGGCTTGCGGGACGGGACGGGACGACACCGCCCACGCTGCCCTCTCCTGTCGTCGCTGCTGCACAGCGGCGGCACCTTTGCTGCGACGCGCGCAGGCGCCTCTCTGCTGCGTTGCCGCCACGACCGTCTCTTATGTTTTTGTTAGGGCGATACGGTGGACTCGATCTTCGGTGATTTGAGGACATGGGCCATGGCATGAGCGTTTGGAGGACAACTAGTATTCGAGTAGTCGAGTAGAGTGTGGGAGTGGGGTGGAGGCTCGGTTAGGGCCGGCTTGTGATTCCTAACTAGCACAATTATAATCTCTTGTACATATATTTCTCTTTTCTATAAAGCTAAGGTACACCATTGACGTATCCTTGAAAAAAATGTTTTTGTTAGGATCTACTCGTCCTTTATTGATTTCACAGCTCAATTGCGATAGGTGGTCTCTCTCTCGTACTCCCTTCATCCCAAAACAAGTGTCTTAATTTTATACTAGCTCCAGTACGAATTTGTATTAAGCTCAAGACACTTATTTTGGACGGAGAAAGTAGGGAGGGTAAAACAGAAATGTAAAAGCCACCGAGCCGTTTGCCGTGATCCATCGTATACCCCTCTTCCCACTCGCATCTCTTAAGAGCATCTATAGCAGACCCCGTATGAGATATCAAGGTCTTATGATAACAAACAACATGGTATGTGGAATATCAAGGTCTGAAACGATCGACATGTGACATCATTTGAATCTCTTGTTGGGTTGCGCTGGGCCGGCTCGGTGGGAGTCGGGGCCGCGAGTGAATGGGCCAGGGTCAGCTGGGTATGTGACCCAGGCTGAATCGGACCCTATCCCTCCTCGTAGCGAAACCCCATGCACGTCAACGATTGTTCTTTCCCCTGCTCGTGCGCCGGCACCTGCTGCTAGGGTTCCTAGGTGCGGAACACCAGGCTTCCCGGTGTGCGGTTCTGGATGGGCGAGGCGAATCCAACCTCTCGGGGCCATGGCTGGCCGCGGGGCTGCGGTGCCGCCCGCCAAAAAACCCATCGCTCCGGCTGCAGCATGTCGTGGCGGGGCTGCACCGCCGCCGTCTGCGGGTGCCGAGCGTGGTGCCCTGGTGACGCATGGCCAAAGGCCGCCTGTCGGTGTCAAAACCGGCGAATCTCGGGTAGAGGGTCCCGAACTGTGCGTTTAAGGCGGATGGTAACAGAAGGCAGAGGACACAATGTTTACCCAGGTTCGGGCCCTCTCGATGGAGGTAATACCCTACTTCCTGCTTGATTGATCTTAATGATATGAGTATTACAAGAGTTGATCTACCATGAGATCATAGAGGCTAAATCCTAGAAGCTAGCCTATGATTATGATTGTTCTTGTCCTACGGACTAAACCCTCCGGTTTATATAGACACCGGAGGGGGCTAGGGTTACACAGAGTCGGTTACAAGCGACAAGATCTACATATCTGAATTACCAAGTTTGCCTTCCACGCAAAGGAGAGTTCCACCCGGACACGGAACGAAGTCTTCAATCTTGTATCTTCATAACCCAACAGTCCAGCTGTCCGAGGACCCCCTAATCCAGGACTCCCTCAATAGCCCCTGAACCAAGCTTCAATGACGATGAGTCCGGCGCGCAGATTGTCTTCGGCATTGCAAGGCGGGTTCCTTCTCCGAATACTCCATAGAAGATTTTGAACACAAGGATCATGTCCGACTCTGCAAACAAAATTCCACATACCACCATAGAGAGTATATTATTTCACAAATATAATCTGCTGACAACTTTTTATAACGTTACGTCCTGCCATGGCCCGGTCATTACGAACCGTTTTCCCCAACCAGCTACTGCACATATTGCGAGGCGGTTTTCTTGGCGCGTCTTGTCGAAGCAGAGATCGTGTCCCCTTATCACGGGATTCTCATCAATACGGGTGTGGGTAACCCAACCGCGCCATCAATCATGGCGCTTGGGGAATAAGCGAGTTTACCAGGCAAGTGGGGAGGCGCAGAATCCCTGCTACCTTTATAAGGGGATAAGGACTCCCTTTCGCACCCACGCTTTCTTCTTCCCGATCCATTCCCCTTCGCCCGAGCTCCAACGCCCGAGCGTTCGTCTTCTCCGCCCACAAAGGCCTTTCGAAAATGTCCGGATCCGGAGCAGGAGGCAAGTGGATGGCCTCTACCGTCCAAGAGAAGCATATCAAAAAGCTTCGGGAGGCCGGGTATCTGGCCAAAAAATCGGCCACCGTCTCCCGACGGTGGGACAGATCGTTCCTACTCCGAAACCCCAAGAGAGGGTTGTATTCCTCCCTCATTTTGTCCGCGGGCTAGGGTTTCTCCTCCACCCGTTCATTCGCGGCATCATGTATTGTTACGAGATCGATTTTCATGATCTATCCCCCAATTCCTTCCACAACATCTCGACATTCATCATCGTGTGCGAGGCTTTTCTCTGCATCTCACCACATTTCGGCTTATGGCTGAAGATCTTTAATGTGAAGCCCAAGGTGGTGAGCGGCGAGCACGCAGAGTGCGGGGGCGCCATGGTGAGCAAGATGCCCAAAGTCACATGGCCAACAGGTACTTTTAATGATTCTGTCAAAGAGTGGCAACAACAGCGGTTTTACATTACTGAGCCATGCTGCACGGAATGGGCCGCTGCTCCAGAGTTCCGATCCGGAGCCCCTCCGCGGCTTATGTCCTGGCCCAAGAAGGGCCTGAACTGGTCTTCGTCCGACGAACTGTCTATGCTCCAGACGCGCGTTAAAGATATGGAAGACAAGAACATCGAACTTGTCAATGTAGTCCAGGTGATGTTAGTTCGTCGGATCCTGCCTTGTCAGCACCGGACTTGCAATCTATGGGAATTCGATCCGGCCAAGCACCAGACCCTGCGAAAACTCTTTGGCTCCTCGCACGAAGACATCTGGAAGGTGCTTTTCAAGTCCGAAAAATCATGGCCGGACTCAGCCGAGGACCGCGGGTATCAACTGTCCCGTCCTGCAAGCTCGATAAGTTTTTATGCGTTTTACCCGCATAACCCAAGGGAAATGCTTTATGTGGTTTCCTCAACTCCCCTAGGGCTGGACGAAGAAGGCGGGGCGGATCCATTGTCCGACCCTGTTGCCCGAAGAACTGGCCGGCCCACTTCTGACGAGGATGCTGGCCCCGGCGCCGTACAAGGCGCCGAAGAAGAAGACCGAAAAGGAGGCTAAAAAGACCCGGGGCGGCCTTCGTTGCCGCGGCACTTCGAGCACAATATCCGAAGGCTCCAACGTCCGTTCTGCCTCCGAAGAGGACAAGGAGGAGGATGAAGACAAATCCCCAGCGGGGGGAAGAAAGAAGAGGGCAGCCTCCATGCACTTGGAGGCCGAGTCGCCTAAAAGGGGAAAAACTCCTCTTCCGGAAGAGTCCATTGCCGCCGCCGATAGCAGCCCGGCGTGGGATCCCAGGGCCCAGCCCCTGGTGAACTCGTGAGTATAAAATCCGAACACGTTTATGCGTCTAGACTCATCATGGCATAATATTTTAACCTGAGCTATATTTTTTGTAGTCCGGCGAGGTCCCGCACCGAACGATCCTCATCAGAGGATTCACTGAGCTCGGATGCTGTAGAGAGCGGGACGCCCCCGAAGGCCCCTTCCCCCAAATATGTGCATAACACCGAGGCTTCGTCCCAGAAGGACCCCGACCAAGGAGGGGGGGAAGAGATCGTGAAAGCGGCGCCTGGAGGTCAAACTTCAGGGGCTGGAGACATGAGGGAGAAGATTCCCATGGGAGTCGACGGCAGGAGCCATCTTGAATTCGGCTCCCAACCGGACGCAATTCCGGAGACCAATACGGCTCCAGAATCAAGCAGGCGGCCTCCCTCAGCTGGAGGGGGCGTGCCTGTTCCACCAGCAATCTCTGTCCATCCAGAGGTGCCGGATGTTTTGTTGGCGGCGCTAAAGAGCGCCTCCATCGTCGATGAACACCGTGCCCTGATGGGTGCGGTGATTAAGGAGATTCAGTCTGCTGAGAGTGGACTGAATGAAGCATCTATCATCCTTATAAGAGGCTTTGAGGTATGTTTTATGAGGTTTCGAAGAGTGTCATAATATGGATAGTAGCCCCTGATACACTGTTCGGTGCAAGAAAGGACCGGACAGAGGATCAATTTTATGTTCGCGGGAAGACTCACTTGATGACATCTATCTCTCTTCTTTTATAAGCAGGCGTCTGCAGCGGCGGCTGCCTCTCATGCTACGGAGGTCTCCGGACTGAATCAAAGTCTGAAGCGGGCCGAAGAAGAACTTGGCCAGTTGAAAAGGCAGTTGGAAGATAAACAAGGTATGCGCAAGCCTTGTTGGCGTTCAGTGCGAACAAATTCTCAGTATGATAAAATATGTTTCATTATTTGTTCTAGGGGTGATGACCGAAGTCGAGGCTCTGAGGAAGGTTGTTGCCGAGGCCGAGGAAAAGGCAGCCGCAGAGCAGGCTCTTCATGAGAAGCACGAGGCCAGGGTTATTGAAGCTGAGCAGGAGCTTCAAGAGTCCCTGAAGAAATGCAAGACCTTGGAGTAGAGTTTAACGCAGAAAGAATCCGAACTCGCCAGGGCTCATCAGGCCGCGCGCGATGCCCAGGGGGGAACCCAAGGTGCCCTGCATGAGATCCAAGAGGCGAGGACGATCGCGGCGGGTAAGGCTTTTTTCCATGTAAAGCGAGTATTTGAGGAGAAAATCATGTTTGTAATTTTGAGTTCGGATTTCTCTAGGGGTATTTGTGGAACTGCCCCGCAGCATATCTGATGCCGCCCAATTCTACCGAGCCGAAGAAGGG